GTGACGACTTCGTGCTTTGCTTGTTGCCGTCATTTCTTTCAGGCGGCTACTCGACTTTTTATTAACCAAAAGGAAAAAAAACCAAATTGGATAAAATCAAAATATTACGGAAAAATTATGGCTTTGCAAATCTTTTTTTTTTCTGTTAACAGCTAAGTCTTTTTGTTTTGCTTCAATTTAGATAGTTTAATTGTGAATAATTCTAAATTTTATATACTATTAAGTTTTTCTTATTCTTACGATTCATATAAAATATGTTTTATTTGACTTAGCTTTGCATAAATGTCGCAATCCATGTATTGAATTTGTTTTTTTATAATAAACATCCTGTAAACTACTATATTTAAAATAAAATAAAATAAAACTAGTTCAATATAGCCATTGTTTTCAAGAATTTTAATGAGTAAAAAACAACAATAACGCACCAATTTAATATCATTTTGAAAAAAACACAACAATTTATGATTCTGTTGAAAACACACAACAATTTGTGTTTATTAACCAAAAAGGATCAAATTACAAAAGAAAAACAAATTAGAGGGCGTAATGACTTTTTGAGCCAAACATAAACATATTTTATTTTGTCAACACAAAATCAACAGTTAAAATGTCTACAAATCTTCTCACTGGCGACTTTAGTTCCGAGACGTTTACCATTACTTAAAATCTGTAAGGACTCATCGGTGGATATAAACCCGGTTGCATCTGCGGCGGAGCCACCGTAGGATAGCCTTCAGGCGGACAAGACAAGCCAGGGAATATAGATGGAGCTACTGTCGGATACAATGTCGGTTGAATTTCCGGTATGTAACTTGTCGGATAACCGTGAGGCGGATACAAACCGGGAAAACAATTCGGCGGCTGAATCTCCGGCTGAGCCAGTGGTGGATAAACCCGTGGCTGATGAGAAGGAACGTAGCCGTGACTAAACGATCCGACACTTGGAAGCAACTGACTCAACACTGGTCCGTTCGAAACAGGCGGGTATGGCGCTGTCGGGTGGACCGGGGCTGTCGGGTGGACCGGGGATGTCGGGTGGACCGGGGCTGTCGGGCGGACCGGTTCGTGAGCTATGTACCGTGGGCGGCTAACTACCACCGGACCAGTAAATGAATAAGTGAAACTGATATCACCTCTTGGTTTACCATTAGGCTTCTTGATTATATACGTGACGTATCTTTGACCGGCATTTTCGTTTCCGAGATGATCTAAAAGCTCTTTAACCGGAACGTGAACCTCGCCGATGTCTGTATCTCCTCCACCTCCGCGTTGCTCGCATTTGATCTTGAAAGTGATCACAAGGCGGTTAGCCTCAGCTAAGGTTTGGTCAATGGTGAACTTCATGGCTTCATTGATCCATCTAGGGCTTGTTCCGCCATCTCTCGCCACTTGTGTCCGTTGCTCGCGGTGGTCGGAGCATTTAGGATCGCCGGATAACTTCACGGCCACGAAAACATCCATTTTCGAGACTTTCTCAAGCCCTTTTGCTGATGTCACCGATATTTCTAGAGATCTCGTCCCCATTTTTGAAATTGCCAAAGATAAAAATGCAAATGCTGATTCTCTCTATGCACATTACATATAGAAGTTGCAGAGAAGACTTAGAAGAAAGTCAATGACAACTTGTTTATACAAGAACATTTTATTATTCCATCTACTATTCAGTTTTAAATTTTGTATCAAATTGAGAGTTTAATAATACCTGTAAGAGTAATTATTATCATGAAAGAAGGAGTCTGTGTTTGATGAACAGCCAACGGCATATTACAACTCAGTCAAAGGTGGAGAAAAAAAACAGAGCATTGATGACAAAAGCAAACAGATAACGATCAAATGAAGTTTGTCACAACATACAAAAACATCAAGAACCTTTTTATTCTTCTTCTCTGGAAATCGGATTGTTGCGAAAGATGCAAATTTTGGAGTAGGACGATGATTCTCGATTTAGTGATGAGTATGAGTCCCATCTACGGTGTCTTCGCCTTTCCTTGAAGCTGCTCTTATTTTACGTTGTTCCTCTTTGTATATCCTGTTTCTTCTTTGGAACTACAACAAATATACAAATGCCCCCTTCCCTTATCAGTCCAATAACTGATACATTCACCATAAGCAAAGAACAAATAATCTAAAATCGAAGACAAATCGTTTCATTCTCGAAAAGTTTCTCTTCTATCCATGCCTAGGAGAGCCACATTTACATGTTTTCAACACATGGAGAGGCTTCGATTGTTCGAGATTTTGTCGAAACAAATGGAGAAAATCACATAAATAGAACAATAGATTAAGAGTAAGCCTTGCCTTTCAAGGTCAGAGTTGAAACTACTTAACTTAATAGCTGAGGAATTCTGAGAGAAACCTAATCTATACACATGATCTACCTGAAACAGCAAAAAGCATGTTTTTTATTACAGGAATATCTAGTTAGACACAAACATGAAACAAAGAGACAAGTTTCAGAATTGCTTGAATTGAGCTAGAATCATGGAATTACTCCAGCTCCGTGATCTGAAAACCATTATCAAACTAACTAATCTAGGGTCCGTACAAATCGTTAACAGGTCAAATCATCAAATCAAATCAGTGAAATCGATCAAGCAATCAAAAGCGTGAAGTAATTGATTCCAACACCAAGATCGAATCGAAAGAAAGCTGACCTCTTTGGAATGGTGAAGACACTCGAGGTAGTCTTCACGAAGAAGTGTACAATCTTTGGGTTCTCTGCAATGAGACATACATTCACTGAAATCCATCCAGAAATCGTAACATCTCCCTTTGTTTCCCGTTATTCCCCAACCCGACGCCATTTTTCTCTGTCTCTAAATCCAAATCGAACAAAGTTGAATCCGACCAAACTGGAGAAAATTCGTCTGAAGACTTTTCTTCCCCTCCTGATCTCAAAAGGATCCGAAACAATCCGGGTTTATCCAATTACAACCCGAAATATCCTTTCTCTTGGGCTTTAACAGTTAATAGGCCCATTCAATCTGAAAACCTTCTAATTCAGTCAGAAGGTTACAGGAAATCAGTCATTTGACCAGATTTTCTTAATTTCCAAAATCATTCAAAACCAAAATTAAATCATTACTTAAACAGACAAAATAATTCTAAAAAATCTCGATTTAGCATTTTACAACCGTGAATCTCTAGTTGAGTCTTGTTTGCATACTTGGTTTTGACCTTACATTTATTATCTTGAAAGCTACTCAACAATCGAAATCAACTTGAGCTACACAGCACAACCAGCAAAACATTGATTTGTTATATCCATCTAAACTAAAAGCTAGTTTTTTAGGGCTTCACGAGACGATAAGCAATGAATCTATCATCTCTAAAGAGCATCTCCGCGTCTCGAGGAAGAGTCATCTCGGGTTTCCATGGACAACAAACTACATGTTGGCCACTTNGTATACTAAGGTGGCCAGTTCCCATTATGAGCTTTTTCTCACTCTCTTCGACGCATGATGATGTTTCATTACCTTCGTTTGTGGGATTCTGAGGTATGGGCAAAGAAGCAGCAGCAATGTTCATCATATCCATGGCATTAGTAGCTGCTGCATTTGGCGTACAAACGTTTGCAGGATTCTCATGCACCTGGAAAGCAGTAGCAATGTTCATCTCCTTTGCATTATCGGGTGGTGCATGAGCAATGTTTATCTCCGTTGCATTATTGGCTGGTGCAATACGAACATCTTCGAGTTCTGCAGAAATTGAAGATTGTAGATAATGAGTTTTGAATGAGCAACTATTTTGAACATTTAGCAGAAAACTGATATTGCAACCGATCTCATGACTCGGGAAATATGATCCCCTTAATTTAAAACACAAGGAGAGAGTGTTGACTCTAGGTTTCATAGAAGACTAACCATCTTCATACACTTCAATCCACTTTGATGGAACATCAGGGGTCACCATCTTCGAAGGTTGGGAAGGGATCTCTTGTAGATTGCTCTTCACATTTAAACTTGCAGCTTCTTGTCTCTCACAAGGCAGAGAAGTTGATGAGGTTTGGTCCTGGTGCCCTGCACATTATAGTTTGACTGTTAATCTTTGAAAATATGTAGCGAGCAAAGAGAGTAAAATCAAACTGGTCATATGCAATTACATGAAGAAATTTGTGGAAGGCAAAACTATATGTGGTCAAACTGTCTACAACTAAATGGAACTCAAAAGCATTTCACAAGAACAAAAAACAATCCACTATCATTTTTTACCCCATATCACACACCATCTGCATTTTAACATAACATAACTCGATTTGATAATCTTTTTCAAGGAGTAAATAAAATTGGAAAACGAAAGGATAATAAAGGTTAATATACATACCATATTTGATACTCATAAAAGCTACTTTAGCAGCACTCATTTCAGCCAGCTTTTTGGTTTTTGCCTCTTCTCCTCTGAAAACCTTCCCGGCAAACTCAACAGTTGAAACAAAGGTACGTGCATGTGATGGACCAGAAGTAGCAGTTGCATAAACTGGTAAAAGAGAACTTTCTTTCTGAGCAATTTCTTGTAACAGGTTCTTGTAAGCAACGTCAATTCCCTGGATAACAAAAATGACACAAAGACATAAAAGAAAATTCAAACAACATGGAAAAGAACATAACTACGGTCCAAAATGAATAAGAACTAGCCTCTGGACTCAGCGGTGCCAACGAAGCCATTGCTACTTTTGCAGCGCCATGTTCAGCCGCTTTGAGCGTGGGGAAGAATTCTTGGCTCTGGAAAGTCTGTCCACAAACAGTAACCTTACATCTAAATCGAGGAGCATGAGCAGGCCCTTCTCGCTCAGCGGCATACACCGGTAGTTCCATATTTTGTTTAAGAGCATATGCTTGCAGTTGACTCTTGTATAAATGATCCATCTCTATCTAAATTAGAGAAAGGAACAAAACTTTAAGATCAGTGTTGTTATATTCTACTTCAATCAAATCCCATAACACCACGAGAATCACAAAGATATTTCAAAAAAGACAAGACTAAAAACAAATCTAGAAAAGAGATCACTAAACGATAAAGGTTCCTTCTGATTACAAACAAGTTATGCCCAAATTCCCAAAACGCAAATCTAATTTCTGTAGAATCAATTTCAGTATATCACATAATCAATGTATTAATCTAGGATTCTCGAAAAAGAATTTGACAGATTCTCATAAGAATTACAGTTAAACAAGTTCCAATTCGAACTAGGTTGAAATTGGGAAATAGCTAATCTCACATTCAAATCACAAATCAAAACAAATTTCTGCGTTGGATAGAATTGTGTTCCCACAATTCCAAATCGAAACAAGTTTCATAATTCAAATCCAATTACAGATAAAGTGAGGGATTGAAATAAAGGGTGATTAACAACAACAGCAAAAACCCAACTGTATAAACCAAAATCTTAGTGCGATAATTCTTTGAAAAAACTGAAATCCCTAAATCGATGCTTACACTTTCAGTAACTTGTAGCTTCCACTTGCAGGTAGTGAGAGGAGACGAAGATGAATAAATTAGAAGATCAATAAGTTGAGGTAGAAATTTGTGAGAGTGAGATCGAATATTTCCAAGAAAGAGATCTCCTGTAACCTTCTGATTGATTTAGAAGGATTTCGGTTCTTTTTTTATTGGTTTTGGTTTGATTCGGTTTACACATTTAATTTTGGACTAAGAAAAAAGA